ACTCCCTGGCCCATGACTTGTGTTTTCTTCAGTCTGATTGTTAGTCCATAATCTTGGCACTCCTTGCTAAAACGATTCATGAGTTGTTGGAGGTCTCCAGCAGAGTGGGCAACACTCTGCGTAACTTTATACATAAAGTTAGAATATATTAGATACTCTCTTGTTTTAGGTAGCAAATGAGATTAATGCATTTTGAAGAGATATTATGTAATTTGTCAACACCCTTTGAAAATTATTTCTTAATAAATTCCTATTATTAAGCCCTGTAAATTGGCCCCCTATAGAAGGGTAAAATCTGAACTGATTTTTATTGAATGTAGAGCTTTTATATTCAAGTTTTGTAATCTAACTGCAAGAGGCTGATTAACATGATTCTGTTTTGCTAGGGCATACAAAGCTTCTCCATTTAAATACATGTAATGTGAAGCTCGGACACTACTTCCAAGTCTGTTCTTACAGTTCTACATGTGATTCTTAAATAACCACCTTTAACCTACAACAGGGGGTTTTAAACAATTATCCTAGGGTTCCAGAAGCATTTGCTTGGAAGCTTACCAAGATCATTGAAAGCTTTCCTACCTCTATAAATTTTTCCTGTCAAAATAAAACAACTGGAGATTGTCAGGTGTATCCTAGGTTGCATTTCTGATTCATGTAGGGCAACAATAAGGCTCAAGAAGTCTAGTCAGCACTCTGCAGCAACAAATTTTGCCTGCTTAAATACACTCTAGAGTCTTCTGAGCACAAAAGTTCTGCTGATCTAGACCAAATGGGTCTTAAATAAACATGTAAAGGTTAAGAACCACTGATCTAGACCACATGGGTCTTAAATAAACATGCTGTGTTAGTACACAATACTGTTTTAATCAGCTAAGGGTTTGACTACACAGCAGGAAAACTACACTTGGATTCACTGTGATACAATGTTTTTCAAAGAACACCCCTGCTGGTTTTTGTGGGTGAAATCACTGTAGTAAGACAAGGAACCAATGAATTGCTCTCGTGGTCATGTGGGGGCAGAATTTCAATTTATTTACGGTATTTCTCTGCTGGGTATTTATGTTCCTGTTGCAATTAATGATTGTATTCAGAGTTAGCCTCCTATCCTCTGTGTCTAATGGGATTGGGAGAAGTTGTCCTGAAGTTCTGTATGAGTGCAGTTGTAACTACGCATGGTGGAAGCTAGACCAAGCTTCTGAATGTGTTAACCACCTTATACCTGTCCCTTTCTTCTGCTGTCATGACTGTGTGACACTTATGCTGGTGTAATGTTATGATGACATAATGATATCACTGCACTATCACAGCTGTTACCTTGAGTTACCTAAGTGAACTTTAGTAGGAAACTCATCCTACTCGAGTTGGCCTAAGCTGAGGACAGGATGGCACAGCAAGATTAGTAATACACGTAATACATGTCAGTTAAAAATTATTAAAGCTATGGTTACAAACCAAAATTGTTCTTCCAAAACAAGAAAACCAGAGCATGGATGTAGGACAGACATGTCAGAGAGCATTTCTAGCTACATGCATGCTTCTTGCCACATACTCTGGCTGTTGACCATTGTAGCTTCTTTGTTAATGTAGTTTATTGACAATTTCAAAACCAGCATGGTTATTGCTTTGTGTATTTTGCACTTTCAGTCTATGTCTCAACTGAAGAACTCTGTGTCTTAATAGGTTGAAGAATGATGGCTGACTTCAGTAAACTCAATGTGGGTGTTGCCGTCAGCAGTTTTGCTATATTTCAAGTTTGTTTCCACTCACTAAGTTCTTGGATTTCTGAACGTGTAACATCTGGTTTTATTAATCTTGATGAAAAGAAGAAGACTGAATGGAATTCAAGGTAATGTTTCTGAATAGCAATATAAAGGTATACATAGAATCTGAAGACTTTACAGTAATTATGCTGTGATCCCAAATCTAGTTGTCAAAGGAATGTCTTTTGAAAATGCCAGCGGGTCATATTTAAAGATCTGTAAAGAGTCTATTTTTTTCATAGAGAGGTCTCCTTGGTTGCCCTATGTAGAAAAGCAGTAAGTAAATTAAAATAATGAATAAAATAAGTGTACAGAAATGAATTTCAAATAAGTCAAACTTGCATTTTATTACCCTTTCTCTCTCTCTCTCTCTCTCTGTGTGTGTGTGTGTGTGTGCGTGTGTTAAACCTATTTATTTGGGACGCCACCTATATTTACGAGTTTTCTCTTTTGCTTTAGATAGCAGCTTGATGCATGTAAATTATACAGTTCATTTCCAAATAGTTTCACTTTTATGTCAGCTTAATATTGTGCTGAACATACATTGTTAAACTTAAAGGCTAAATAGGAAACACAGTTGTCTGCTCTAAACAAACAGAAAAATCGTACTCTGGTCAAAGAACTATATTTTATATTGGGCTAGAGAATCCCATAATCCTTCACCATTTGCCACACTGGCTAGGACTGATATGAGTTCTAGGTTAAAAGACGGGAAGTGCCAAAAATTCCTTACCCCGGTTTTATCGCTAAGTACTTTGAATCTAGGAGAGTTATAAGAAAACATTGGATTGGATTGTTTGTTGTCATATTTTATGCATGAACCAGCATAATGCAGTATATTATTAATAAACATAAACTTATGTGCCAAGATTCATTTGTATGCTTTGATATTCAACATTATCAAAGTGATTGGATAGCAAAACACATACTACTTGGCCTTTGGCCTATTCCCCTCTTCCTCCTTCTGCAGTCTTCCATGATGCCAAAAAGCCTGCTCTAAAGGATTTCTACACTGTCCAAATCAGGATTTAAGGTTGGAGGAGGAATTGAAGGTTGCTGATTCTGACAATAATAGTAGGATTCAGCAGAAGTACACCACTGGATTCAGACCATATATAAAACCTTTTCTGTTATAACCACTACATTTAGCTCATTTTTTATGGTATTGCAGACACCCACTGCGTTTTTTGGTTCTACTCAGGTATTCTGTGTGAGAAACATTTATATGAAAAAGTTGTTTTACATACCACAGTCAGTATGTACATCACTTTTCAGACTCATTTCCTGCCTCAAAATTATACCCCAGAATTCAACACAGGGAGGAACAAACTGCTTATGGCAATTTACGACACACTTATATCACATTTGGTTTTGAGACATATTTATGATTTAAAGAAAAATATTGATCCACATTTCCACGATTACATACCAAGTGGTCTGTGTCTCTCTTTCCTTGGAGTGATGCCACATGAATGGACGGTGGGATATTTGGTTTTATACTCCCACTGAAGTAGTTTATTCATAACTATAGCATTACAAAATTTCTGATAAGCATTAATTAAAAAATGAAATTAGTAAGCTACTGGCAAGTAAACCACTAACAAGCACAGTCTCTTAAATATATTTTTATATTTATTTATTTATTTATTCGACTTGTATGTGGCCCGCACTCTGCAAGGGTCTCTGGGCGGCTTCCAACATTTATTAAAACAGTTCAGTTGAAACAAACACATTAAAAACCAATACGGTTACAGCTATACTCTACAAAAGGAAAAATAAAACAAAAACAATCTACAAAAACAATCTAGATCCATAACTCTATCAGTTAAAATTAAAAGCCTTCAATTAAAAAACGTATGGAAGAGGAAGGTTTTAACCTGGCGCCGAAATGTCAGTAACATCGTTGCCAGTCGGATGTTGTTTGGGAGGGCATTCCAAAGACCGGAGATCTAAAGGAGATGTCTTGTGAACTGCAAGAACTGGCTTCCTTTTTTACATTATTTCTGGGCAGTGTTTTGATAAAAGAGCCACAAGACCACTGGTGAACTAAAAGGGGTGGTTCCTCATTGACTTCAGTAATAAAATTAGTTTTTTTTAAATGATGTAATTAAAGAACCTCTGTTGTTCTCATCACTGAATAAAAAGAAACAACATATATAGCATATTACTGTTCCTATATGTGAGTTGACCATATAAATTAAGGCCAGTCTTAATCTCTGGTGCTTCAGTGCTGACTGTTTTTGAAAGCCAACTCTAAAATCTATGGAGGGGATCCAACAACTATCTTTTAAAGGAAGAGGAGAGGAATCAGTCAGTCAGAAATGGGGGAAGGGGTTGATCCAGTCTCTGCTTGTAACCTCAGACTAGATCCATTTTGTGGAAGGCTGGAGGAGGGGAGGAAAAGAAAATTCCATTCAGCAACACAATGTCAGTTTTAGACCTGTTTTTCAAAATTCTCATTATTGCTTTGTTTGGTTCCAGTCTCTGCCAAACACTGTGAGAGTGAGATGTCAAAATCTGTGGTTCATAAGTGAGCAATATTTGGTACTTTGGGTTGCCCTTTTTCGGGTTGCCCTTTTTTGTGCATTAGCTGAAATCACTTCCAGGTTTTTTTGTGTGTATAAGGAAAACCACATAATAGCCATAATGACTATATTCATAGAAACTTAATGTACCGGTATCAGCTGTACTCTTTTTCTAGAACAGCAGAGTGAATACACTCTTAATAAAGCTGCTTTTATCTCTTCTAGGACAGTATCTACGTTCCATGCCTTGGTGGTGGTTGCATTTTGTTTGTATATTTTATTATATGATGAAGCTGTCAATGCTGACCATGTTTGGTAAGAAATGTTCTTGTTCCCTTGCATTATCCAATTGCTGTTTGTTCTGCAAGTTGTATACCCTCAAGTTTTAAAACATTAGAAAGACATACCTATTTACTCTTCCAATCTTTACAGTATACAAAGACATTATTCTTTGCATTGGTTATAATGGGGGAAAGTACAGTACTCTTAAAACCCTGGAGTATCAGGCCTTGTATACCAATATGCTAAATTTCTTTAAGTAGACTTATCACTACCATCACCACCTAAATACATACATACAGTGGTGCCCCGCATAGCGAGGTTAATCCGTTCCGGATTAACCTTCGCTATGACGAAACATCACTAAATGGGACGGAAAAAGCCATTGGAACGCATTAAACATCGTTTAATGCATTCCAATGGCTTCTTTACTCACCGTTATGCGATGTTTCCTCATTGCGCCGCCATTTTCGCGCCCTCGGTAAGCGAGGGCAGGGCGCGAAAATGATTGCGGCGGCCATTTTGGGTCACGCGGGGGCCATTTTGGAGCCACCGAACAGCTGATTGTCGGGCGTCGCAATGCGCAGATCGGTAAGCGAAACGCTTACCAGTCTTCGCAATGCGATTTTCGCCCATTGGGGCCATCAGTAAGCGATCGCATTAGTGATCGGAAAAAACTCATCGCTATGCGATTTCGTCATTATACGGTGCGCTCGTTAAGCGAGGCACCACTGTATTAGCTTCTTGTTATATATTCCCACAAATAAAAGAATGTGAGAACAAAAACTCTTTTGAAGCACTGAAAGCTAGATGAAATCAATAGTTTATATGTCCTTTTTCTCAAAAAGTGGTTGGTGCAGATATCTGACCATGTTCTGATGAGGCAAGCTCCATGTGAAATTGTAGAGTTGTATTCTTTTTTTCAAAGGCTGTATTTGAGGTCACCTCACTCCCTGAAAAAAAATCCACCAACATGACATGAAACCTTTTAGAATAGGGGTGGTCTCTTTCAAAAATGTAATGTTGCAATTAAACCTATTATAGATTTTTTCCGAATGTGGTACAAAAGAAATGTGACTAGTAGCTATTTGAAGTAGCTTGATTGATTTCATGCATTGTGTTCACCTTACTTGCTCTGAATTCCACCTAGAGAGTGTAGCAGTCATAAAGGATTACATATTTCTGTGAGCAAGAAAAAGACTAATAGCCTTTTTAATGCTGGAAAAGAAGATTACGGAATGCCTGATATTGTGGGAAATCTGAAAGAGCAAACTATCTCCCTTTGTTAAAATGGGATGGGTTCTTTTTTTTGTAGAAGTTCAGAAATAGCTTTAACCTACTGTCAGCTGTGATTCAGCTAGCATGTGATGGAATAAGGAGAAGGATTAAAGGTCATAAAATCGCTCTTTCAGCATGATGTCTAAGGGAATAAAAGTAAGGCTAACCCTTTCTTCTCCTTGAGCTAAATTTCTAATAGCAACATTTGCAAATAAAAAAGGAAGATTCACTTCAGCGGCAGAAGATTATGGTTAATTACAGGATGTCACATCATTCTGAGGCTTCACGTTTTTGTAAATAGTTGAAAATATTGCAATTTTGAGGCACAAGAAAGTGTAAACACATAGTAATATGCACAGTCTAGTTTTGCATAGTCTAGTTTTTAGCACAAGCTGGTTTCTGAAGTAGCTGGTGTAGGGCTTTGCAAGCCACATCCAGCTTGTTTAGGCTTATTTCCTTTCCCTCACAGTATTATCCTGTAAATTATTCTCTCCACATCAGTCATTCTGGGATATAGGGAAAAGCCAGTTGTTTTGGGCAGTGTAGCTTGTATGTGACACATTATCTACATTCATCTATTGCATTTTATTTAATCTAGAACTGTGTTTTCCAGCCTGTTTTGAGCTGTGGACTCTTTTTATAATAGCCAAGTAACCTGTGACACCTCCCTGCCACATTTGCATTAAAAAGCACTTTTAATGGGGCAAAAACACACACATTAAATTAGATTTTTTTTTCAGAATATACTTTTAACCTAATATATTAATACATAATTATGTGAGGGCTGTAAATCTGCCTCTACGAGATAAAAATTGAGAAGAAAAAAATGTCAATACACTTTGAGTTTAATTTACCTTTTTGGATGTGGAAATGACCCTCTTTGCAAATAGCTTCAATAGGACAATCATTCAAAATCTGATGCGAATTTGGTACCCTGATGTTAAAGTACTTAGGGTGAAATTTGACCCTTGGATTGCTTTGAAAACCTCTGGTGACAGTTGGGGAGAAATATACTGGGTTTCAGTGTGAACCTGTACATAATCATCCACAATACCCAAGTTCTAGATATTCCTCATCCATGGTAAATTTTAAATTGCTATTCAGTATTACAGGGACTCCGAGTGGGACCGAGTGAAAGTCCTCTCTGATCTTAACACTCAAGTCAGCTCATAATAGGAGATACAGTCTTTGAGATAACTTGGACCTAGGGTTAACATCAGCACTTGATAACTGATCAGCAGCCAGTGGAGCTGCTGCAACAGGGAGTGTAGCTGAACATGCCCTAAAACAAGCTGGACATGAAATTCTATTTCAAAATACTGACGTACTGGACAACACCAGCAATCATTATGTTAGACTGCACAGGGAAGCCATTGAAATCCATAAACATCAGCAGAGCTTCAACAAAAAAGAAGAAAGTCTGAAACTGAGCAAGGCCTGTCTTCCAGCACTGGAAAATACAGCCTGCAGAAGGTCAATGAACTCTCCCCAGCCACAAGGACCAGGGATCATTGCACAAAAAAGACCAGCTAAAGACACCCATCAACCACAGTTACAGATAATCTCTCCCACTTATCACAACAATACAGTACATATAGCTGCTGACTCCACCTCTCCAGCCCCCTCATAGGCTCATGCAAATCAGCTGATGACTATGAATGGCATGAGTGATGCGAGATGATCGTCACAGTGGGGTACTTTTATTATTTTTTTCAATTATTTATTAAAATATTTATACCCTGCCTATTTCATCAAGAGGACACAAAGAAACTTACAATATTAAAACAATATAGAGCCTGATGCCCCCTTTACAAGAGATTATTTTACTGAAAAGGAAAGTTCTCAGTGAAGATATGCTTTTTATTACTTCCAAATGGTATCACACAACAGGTGTCTTCCAGGTGTTTTAATTTTTACAATTATATTTGATTCCCACATGTGGAACAATAAAAATGTATATCACTGAAGGAGTAAAGTGGACACAGATTTTCTTTTAAGTGAAAAGAATTTTGATTTATTTATTAGGCTTATCCAAGAAGCTAGCTTTTCCTTTGTTTTCTAATATATCTTGTAATATACTCTTCATACAATTCATACAACTTGCTTTTGAGACACATTCAGTCTGTCAATTTCTGGAATTCCCTTTGCACTTTTCCTTTTGAGGTGTAGTGTGCCAGAATTTACTGAGCATCCTACTTTCCATTTTTAGCTTTGATTCATAGATAAATATTCAATATAATTTGATTTTCATTTACTAAGATAGGAAAATCTCTGTAAAATACTAAACACACCCACACCCCTGAAGAGTATTCTTACATGAAGAATCCATCATCACTTGTTACATTTATATACCATATTTCCTCCAAGGAGCGGAAGGCAAGCTGCTTTCTCTATAGGAATACAAATCTAAAGCACAAGTTGGCTTTTGCAAAAATGATTATTATTGCCACATGAAAACGGCTACCTATTTATAGCCAAATATCATTGGAATCTGCAGTTTTGTTATTAATTATGACAATGAAAAAATACTACAGGAATTATAAACATTCCTAGACCAGTGCATGGAAAAATTAAGGCTTTTAAAGACTGCAACTGCCAGAGTCTACTGGCTAGCATGGCCACTGGCCATGGTGGCTGAGGGATTATAGAAGCTGTAGTCCAAGATATAACATTTCCAAACTGTGTCCTAGATTGCCTTTACTGTTTTATGATTATTATAATCAACATTTTATGCAAAGGTGCAGTGCAGTATCACACAAACTGTTGATATAATAATGTCTCAAAGCATAAATATGAAGCTTAACACTCTGTAAGATCTCTTATGTAGATATGCTGCACTCCAATAAGCAAGGGCCACCTGTTTGTTTCACTGTCAGGAATTACTTTGCTAGATAGTATGACATGAATCTCTTTGTTCAATATATGCTGTCTTGTCTGACTGGTATAACAAAATTAGTTATATAGGACCTCTACTATCAACCATCACCACCCAAACAACATGTTGGAGGGTTAAAAGGTGAGGGAGGGCAAAGCTGCCTATGTATGAATTCTCACACATGGAAATAGTATTAAGTAAATGTAAAGTAAATTTTCTTTCTTTGTTAATAGGGGTGATGCTTCTACAGTGCAACTAAATCTTGCTATTACATCAGGCTACCTCATTTCAGGTAATCTATACAATAGTATTTGCAAATTGCATTGAAAATGTGTATGTGGAATAGCTTACAAGAAGAATATATACAAAATATTTGCCATTTGATAAGTAACTAATAAATCATGGTCTGTCAAGTCAATTCTGACTTGTGGGAACTTTTTTCATGGTTTCCCAGTTAGAGAATACTCAGAAGTGGTTTACCATTCTTTTCTTCTGAGGTACCCTGGGATTGTGCAGCTTGCCCAAGTCCACACAGGACGGATCTACTCACAGGAAGCACAGTGGGGAATCAAACTGTCAACCTCTGGTTCCACAGCCTAAACCTCTGAGCTACCTAGCCATCTGTGGCCAATATGAACCACTGTTGTACTGTGTTCTGGTTAAAAACCAAACAAAACAGTTTAAAATAAGGTGTCTCCATGCCTTAAATGGAAGCACATATTATTTTGCCAGGGAAGCATGTTTTCTGGCTGGAAAGCAACCTAAAATACTCTTCCACTAGAGGGTTGTTTATTTTAGCGTGCAGTGAAAGCCAGTTTATTGCAATTGTTTCTGTATATGCACATCTCTCTGTTGCTGCAAGTGGTCCCTTTGGGCAACCAGTGGAAGTGGTGAGAGAGGTGGCAGGAAGGGAGAAGGGAGGGATGGACGGATGGCGGGGTGCAGGAGAGGGACAGTCTGCTGGCAAAGCTGCTTTTCCCTTTAGAATGTTTGACTGCTCTAAGAATGCTCCTGCTGTTCCCTGGGAGGAGGGGAGGATGTGGCCAGCCCTTTTCTCACAGCCACTCCCCATTCCTGCTGTAGGTTATTTCCCTCCTTGGCAAGCAGTTTGTGTGGAACAAATTTAAAAGTGGGCAAAGAGAACCCAGGACAACCCAGCAGGCTGCTTAGGAAACAGGGCAGCTGATAGCTAATTCAACATTCTTAAAGGGACAGAATCAGCCAAGCTTTCTAAAGCGACAAGCAGCTTTACCAGTAGACCCTTTCTCTCCTTCACCTCGCCACAGCAGCAGGGACGAGTGGCCAGTGAGAGATCAGGGCAGGTGGGCACCAGACAAAGCCTCAAATGCAATTATTATAAAAACAAGTGTATCTTCCTAAACCAAGATATAACACAGCTTAAAAATGGATTAAAACTTTTCCCAAGAGGAAGCAGATATCCTTGAAATGATGGATCTGCATAGGAACAGCTGCCTCGTAGAACCTATGGATAACCTTTGGCAGTACAAGGAGTTTACATTACATTTCCATGTAAAAAGACTTTCATGTAGTCCACTTCTCAGAATTGCTCTACCAGAATATAACTTCTTAAGATGAAATGCACCACAACACTGGTCTGGCACTGTGCTTGTATGGTAGGGGCATTAACTTGTATGGCAGATGAATATGCAGTTCAGAGTTATGATGCCAAGCTGCTTTCTTCTTTCTTTTTTCTTTTAATTATGCCTGAAGTTTTCAGTTCAGGATTTATTGTAGATTTTGGTTGTAGAATGGATTAAGGTAAGAAGTATTTTGGCACATATAAGTGATTTGATTTCTATTTCAATCCCCACCCCATTCTTACAGTATTAAAAGTTTTAAGGCAGTGATGGCTACAGTGCATTATGATGGAACTGAGAATTATCAATGGTGGGTGGAGGCAGAGGCATAAATGGACATTTATATATGCAGATAGACACAGAGACATCTCGGTCACACATACAGGCCAGCAGACATTTACAAACACAGAGGCCTTCTGCCAAACAAACAGGTAGGAGTGGAATGGTGGGGGATAGTCTCAGCCTTAGGTGGGGCAGTGCCCCATTTGCCCTAAGCCTTGCAGCGGTCCCCATTCTTTTTAGCCCCATGGACTGGCTAGGGAAGGCGGGGCACCCCCCTTGTGGTTCATGCGCATGTGCAAAGGGCGGCGCAGCACTTGTGCAGGCACACGGGGGCTTGTGCGCAGGTGCAAACGGGCTGTGTGGGTGGAGTGCGTGCGGGGGAGTGTGTGCAGGGGTGGGGGAGAGATCTCTCTCTCTGCGGCCTGGTCCAGCTCAGACCACGGACCAGCACTGGGCCACGGACCAGCGGTTGGGGACCTCTGCCCTAAGGGACAAACTGCCACTGCTTTAAAGCAAAATATGATCACAGCAATTTACTGATCTTTTCTTTCCCCTTTTAGACCTGTTGCTTATTATTTTCTATTGGAAGGCAATTGGGGATATATATTATGTAATACACCACTTCGTAGCTCTTTATGCATACTACTTTGTACTGGTGAGTTTCTTCTTAATTGTGTAATAACATTCCAAATAGATAAGTGGAATTTGTGATTAAATATGGTCATTATTAATCATGTATTTTGGCACAACCTGTGTATTTAATGAAGATTAAGAGAATAGGTCATTGTCTTCTACAATCTAGGCTATTGACGAAATGGAGAGAAATGGAGGATTATTTTTTTATGAAGATCATACAGCTGTTTTAGCTACAGGTGTATGTAGTCTACAGATGAAATACATAGTACAGAACAAAGCATTAAGAAATAGTTCCCAGAGAGGTAGCTGTGTTATGTCTGTTTCAGCAACAAGAAAAAAAACTCAAACAAAAATATTGTGGCACTTGTAAGAGTAACAAACAAATTCATTCAGGTATGATCGTTTCTGGATTACAATCCATTTCTTAAATAAGGAATAGGCTTCACAGAAATACCAATTTAAATTAATTTAAAACTAAAGCTTTACCTTGTTTTTCTCAGTTGTTGTTTCCTGCGAATCCACAGCCTTTACATTAGATCTTATGATTTAGGATAACATTGGTATACTTTGGTTAAGTGTCTATTATTCGCGCCAAGGGTCCTAAACTCTTTAATGGAATTGAGTCCCATTTATTTGTGGCTTTCTAGTACCGTAGTTACATTAATTTTGTGGACAAACAAATACACTATACAACTTGAGAATATTACTTCTTTGGATTGTAGCTTGCAACAAACAAATTCATTCAGGTATGATCGTTTCTGGATTACAATCCATTTCTTAAATAAGGAATAGGCTTCACAGAAATACCAATGTAAATTAATTTAAAACCAAAGCTTTACCTTGTTTTTCTCAGTTGTAGTTTCCTGCGAATCCACAGCCTTCACATTAGATCTTATGATTTAGGATAACATTGGTATACTTTGGTTAAGTGTCTATTATTCGCGCCAAGGGTCCTAAACTCTTTAATGGAATTGAGTCCCATTTATTTGTGGCTTTCTAGTACCGTAGTTACATTAATTTTGTGGACAAACAAATACACTATACAACTTGAGAATGTTACTTCTTTGGATTGTAGCTTGCAGAATCCTATGGCCATGGAAAACATAAGGTTAACTCTGCAAGATTAGACCAAAGGCCACTCTGTCTAATCTAGCACTGGCCTCTGCTGCTACCACCTGTTTGCAAGCATTTTAATATTAAAAATAAATATTTTCAGCACACAAATATTACCTCTGTACCCGCAATTCAAAACACCAGGAAATGGCCAGACTGGCTACACTGCCAGCAGTAAAAAGGGTGCAAAGCTTTATATTGCAAAGGCCAGCCTGAATATTGACAACAGCAATGTCAGCAGTCAAGATTCCATCTTGTGCTCACTACCATTCACAAACAGACATGAAGCAAGGGAAAATTGCAGAACCTGACTCCTTTTTTAAAACCAGTTAGCCATTTCTCACCCAAACACAAAGCAATTGTCATGGCTATTTTTCACCAAGTTCTTTAGCTTTTCTTTCAACAAGTTATCTCACTTTTCTCATAGTTTCTATCTTTCACTCTTCCCCCTTTCTCTGTGGCTTTTCTTCAGTGCCACCCCTTGGCTCCTCTCTCTCTTTTTCTTCTTTCTATTTTTCCTCCCTGGGCTCAGTCACATTGACAATAAGAACTGCTGTTGAATGGGGTCTTTCTTAAATAAAAATGATTTTAAAAATCCTGGCTACATAATGTGAATGGAAGTGCAGATTTTTTTTGCCCAAGAATCGTGGGTTTGTTTGTTTGTTTTTTAATCAAAACCAATGTATTTTACTGAGCTGGCAGTGGGTTGTTTATTTTAATGCAGATGGACAATCAGTGGGGAAGGGGATGGGAAGGGTCATGGTCAAGAAGAAGGGGAAAGGGGGAGGCGCAAGCAAGGGGAAAGTAAGAAAGGGGTTGTTGAAGCACAAGAAGATGAAATGACATTCAAGTGTGGATTCCCAAACCAATTTTCATTACCAGAAATATATGTAATTAAGTCAATGTGAATGTGCATATTGATTTAAATATCATATGACTTTACATCAATATAAAAAAGTCAGCTGGAAATGATGCAAATTGGCTGTGTGACTGAACCCTCTTTTTGTGGCTTCTCTCTCTCCCTATCCTCTACCCTGTGGCTTCTCTCTTATTCACTTTAATCTTATCCTCCCTTTATTGCTCCTCTCTGTCTCTCTCTCTCTTTCTCTGTGTGACACTGCTCTCGCTCTCTTCTCTCTCTTGTCCTTCCCTCTCAATCTCTTTGGCTTCTCTCTCTTTGCGAGCCTTTCTCTCTTTGTTCTTTCCATCACTTGCTCTGTCCTTCTCTGCACCCCATGGCTACTTTGTTTGTGGGTTTATTTGTTCAAACACATTTATTCCATGAGAAGGCTGAAGTCCCAATCTACCATCTTGGCCAGATGTAAGCCCCATTCACCTCAATGAGACCTATTAATTTCCTGAAGTACTGGGATGAAGTTTGGGCAATGGCTGTAGAATACTTTAGTAAGCATGTAATCCAGATTAGTGCAGGTAAATCATCCTAGAGGAAGACCACAGCTGCGATACAAGGATATCTGCAAGCGGGATCTGAAGGCCTTAGGAATGGAGCTCAACAGAGGGAAAATCTTGACATCTGAGCATTCAGTCTGGATGAAGAGACTCTTGTCCAGCAGGACGAGGCAAAGAGGCAGTCCCGAAAGCAGCAAAATCAGGGAGCTGGACAGGGGACAGATTGTATTTGTCTTTAGTGTGGAAGGGATTGTCACTCTCGAATTGGCCTTCTCAGCCACACTAGATCCTGTTCCAAGTCCTCCATACAGAGCATATTACCATAGTCTCTCGAGACTGAAAGATGCCTAAAAAGTCCAGATTTCATGAAAAAAAATCCTGTGCAAAATAAGCATCTTTAAGGTCTTTTATTTTCTTAATAGCAGGATGTATCAACTTCACATTTCAAAAGGTTTGTGGCAAGAATCATTTGTTTTTGAGGAAGCAGTAGGAGCTCCTCTCTCTCTTTTTCTTCTTTCTATTGTTCCTCCCTGGGCTCAGTCACACTGGCAATAAGAACTTCAGTAGGGATTTGAATAATAACTACCAAAGTCACTGTGAGGTGAATAAATTATAGCAAAATGCAATCACAAGGATAGAGGTAGGAGTAGTTATTTAAAACTGAAATTAGATCTTAAGGACTTGTCCAGCCTTTCCAACTTGGGCACAGAGCAACCCATATTGTCTACAATCACTTTGCCACATATGGCCCTGATTCAAGAACCTGTTCACAAACTAAATGTTTTTCTTTGGATTACTCTCTCTATCGGAAGGGCTTACAGAAGTTGTTTTGACTGGTCACGCAGTATCAGAGTACACTTGTAATACAAAATTCTTGTTCTATTAAGCCTTTGGCTAACACCAGAAATCAATAAGGTTGCTTCATTGGAAACTAGTTCCTGCTTTCAAACAGCCCTTAAGGGGGAAAGTGCACATAGAATGCACTAAAGTAGTGCAACTGGAAGCTTACCGGAGTATACTTAATTGCAACCTTTACTCAAAAGTGTGACTTTTCAGTGAGATTTTTCTCTTTCAGTGAACAATTTCTAGAGTAAAAAGTATGCATAGAATGCAACCACTAACATCTCAGTAAATATATCTTTACCCAGTTTTAACAAAAGATTAGATCCATTTTTATGATAATGAATGCACAATGTGTTATCTGGATAGTTTTGATTGATGGGGGAAGTGTGATGGAAGAGACTTGGGGGACTTAATATATTTTGCTAAGCAGTATTTTATATAAACGTGTGTGTTTAAATTTGTATTTTAAAATACTCAAATGCATGTTTCAGTGTAAACAAAATATTTCACTCTGTGTAGCAATGTATTTTAGTAGAAACACTTTCATATTTTGGATTATATTTCTGAAATTTAAAACTAAGATTTCTAATCTTTGTCAATGCTTTTTTCCCTTATCTAGGATAGAGGCTTGTTAGCATATTTTGCTAATTTCCGTCTGCTTGCAGAATTTTCTACCCCTTTTGTAAATCAGCGGTAAGTAATGTTTTCTTATACAGTATTAATACCTTGTTCTTAGAGTAGCCCGTGCAATTCTGCAGTCCGATGACTACAGATTGTGTCTGACTCCAGACATGTATTGCACCAAATCATTCAGTCATTGTTTTTCTCTTGTAAAGTACCAGTGAATTTACAGGTTCATTTCCATGTGATTTACAATACTGCCCTTTTCCTATGTGTACACTATATTTTGCCCACAGCAGTTGGAATGTTTGGTACAAAAGAGGAGCTCATACCACATTTACCTTTACGACTACTTAATGATCCCGTTTATTTTTAAATTGATATTTTAATTAGTATTAAAACAATTTTCTGGATACAATTTATTTATAGGAAAGTAACAACACAACAATATAATTCTATTTCTTTCAAATATTTTAAGTTTTTAAAAAGTTCTGGTTACTGCTGCCAACAACATAGACAAAATGCCAGTGATGATTTTTTTAAGGTTTTGAAAATCATTTGCATTACTGTTGTGTTATAGTGGTATAACACTATAAAATTATTTTGTATTATAGGCTTAGAACAATTTATTGATTTATTCATCCATCCCAATTCTATACTGCTCCATTATATTGTATAATGAGGCTGATTTAATTCTATATTTTAAAAATTCTTGTCACAGCTATTTTGATTTTAATGGCCATAGCCAGAAAGCAGAGCAGATGCATGATAATGTTGTAGTGGCTTTGGCCAGGATTCGGTGGCGCACTGCTGCATCCTGTCACTTCTGTCGGAACTGATGCCCCCCTCTGCATTCTAAAAAACTGCTTGAAAAGCTGAAAATCCCTTTGGAGCAGGTTTTTAGCACCATGGAAGATTCCACTGGAAGGAAGAAGAGAAGAAAGCCCTGATACTACTGCTGTTGTATAGGGAAGTGCACACTGCATCATGGCAACAGTGCTATGCCACTTCTTCTTCTTCTTCTTCTTCTTCTTCTTCTACTACTACTACTACTACTACTACTACTACTACTACTACTACTACTACTACTACTACTACTACTACTACTACTACTACTACTACTACTACTACTACTACTACTACTACTACTACTACTACTACTACTACTACTACTACTACTACTACTACTACTACTACTACTACTACTACTACTACTACTACTACTACTACTACTACTACTACTACTACTACTACTACTACTACTACTACTACTACTACTACTACTACTACTACTACTACTACTACTACTACTACTACTACTACTACTACTACTACTACTACTACTACTACTACTACTACTACTACTACTACTACTACTACTACTACTACTACTACTACTACTACTACTACTACTACTACTACTACTACTACTACTACTACTACTACTACTACTACTACTACTACTACTACTACTACTACTACTACTACTACTACTACTACTACTACTACTACTACTACTACTACTACTACTACTACTACTACTACTACTACTACTAGTAGTAGTAGTAGTAGTAGTAGTAGTAGTAGAAGAAGAAGAAGAAGAAGAAGAAGAAATAGCATTTCACATTTATTTAAAAGACTGTAGAATATAACAGTTGGGTACACCACAAAGTTTTGGGGATTGGGTTAAGTCCAGATTTGAGTTATACTTAAGATGCTGAGGTCAATGGGATTCCCATGGATTTCAGTGTATCTACTCTGAAATACTTGGATCTAGAGTAATCTCTGTCTAACTGCTATAAGTTCACTTATTAAACCATGCCCTTTTACAGTGATAGAAGACTTAGGGGTAAAAGCATCTACACCTGTACAGATTGTGCACTAGGGATGCAAAAAGTGAAAACTTTTGTTTTACTTTGGATTTGGAGTCTTTTGGGTGGCTTCTCTTTTGATTGGGGGGAGTCTTAGGGGTATCAGGGCTGTCAGCAAACTCCCAAACCTTTTGGGGCCCTTTCCTTTTGGAAGAAGAAAGGTGTTTGCAGTAGCAAAGTAGTGTCAAAGGAGCAAGGGGGAAAGGGGCTTGCTGTGTGGAGCAAATGACAGGACAGTGGGAAGGGGGATTTATAGTGGAGAGAAAATAACAGGAAAGCAGGGGAAGAAAGTGGCTTGCCATGATGAGGCAGTGAAGAGGGGAAGGGTTTTGCAGCAAAAGAGCAGGCGGAAGAAGAGCAGGACTTGTGGGAGCCAATGATAGGAAAGCAGGGGAAAAGGAACATGGTTCACAGAAATGAGAAAATTATAAGAGAGTGGGGGCAGAACAGAGCTTTCATGGTGGTGCAATGACAGGGGGAAATATTTTACATATATGGGTCAAGTGGATATAACCTGATAGTGGAAATATGTAAGATTTGGCAAGTTTTGAATCCCAAATCTTATGGATTTAATTGGGAAGCCACAAAAGACTCTGAAACCCAAAGAAAGAGCCTTTTTTATGGTGTTTTCATTCCAGTCAATGTGAAAATCCCATCCTTATTGTGTACCATGCTCCTCTATTCTTCTCTTTAAAACGTTGGCTCTCTACAGTTCAAAAAAGGCAGTTCAAAGAATGCAAGATGAAAGTGGCTAGATGTCCAAACCATGTAGATACCTAATTTGAAGTGTGTGAATGAAGCATAATGATTTTTTCCCTAACACCTAGTGTGAAAGCACTTCTAAGTTGAAGTCCTAGCTCTGACGATTTACTGAGCAAGGGAAACAGTGGTTGTGTACGCAAGCATGATAAAGAGACACTATTAATGGCAGCATCCATTTGAGTTCTAGTGTTTCTAAATGGACAATACAAATAGATAATGGTTTTTGTAATCTAGGCAGAACATTGGCATATGTGTTTAAGAGAAGTGAAAAGAATCCTGATTTTAAAACAGGATCATTGGATACTGAATAAATTCTTGTTTGAAGGGCATTCAATGTTTTTCTGTCCAAAAAATACATACAGTGCAAACTTTCAGACAAAGTAAATCAAAAGGATGGATGGCTGCTTTTCTGCATTACAAAAAAAACTGTAAGCTTTCTTCTTTAAAAAAAAAGTAGCAAAATTTAATCTGTTATGTTCCATAAACCAAGAGTGACCATACTGTGCGCAGTGTTATTGAGTTTGTTCAGCATTAATTGATTATGGTTATTTTTGTGTTAGATATTATTTTTCTATTTAAATAGGTAGTTAAATTTTCAACCCTTTGGTTGCGTACAACTTGAGGGTGCGAACTCATCATCTTATTTTTAATTATCATGAATAATTCGTGCCAGCACACTCATTTGACTCTCTAGGTATTTTTAGATCCATCTCTTGTGTTTCTTTGTACATCTTAAAAGCCTAGTTTAGTTCTTTAGTATTCCCTGATACTGTCTGTGCCTTAGGCAGTGAATAATCAATGGGCTTTACAGCCTTTGCATGAAGGGCAAATGAGCATTATCTTGATGGTGCATTCATGTTCTATTTTCGTTTTTCCTTGCTTGCTTTTTCTGTCACACAAGTAAGCGATACTGTCCCCAGATAGTTTGATTCTTTCTACTAGAAAGTAGCAGGGCCTGTTGCATACAGTGTGTCCTCTTCTGTGACCTGACACTGGAGCTGCTTCCTCTGGCTCCTTCATAAATCCACAAATCATGCAAGACAAACTGGCACCATGGCTGAACCGCTAGGTTGGCGGGAGCTGGGACAAGCGACGGGTGCTCAAGCCGTCGCGTGGATTCGATCTTACGACTGCTTGGTCTTCTGACCTTGCAGCACAGGCTTTCTGCGGTTTAGCCCACAGCGCCACCACGTCCCTAGATGTTGGGAGAACATTATTCTAGGAAGCAGCTGTTGAACTATCTGTTCTCACATTGTGGTAGAGGTTTTCTCTGATACCGTAAGCATGGGAAGTTATCACACAACAGAAGCTCCTATGTCATAAACCTGATGTCAGAAGAGGGTCTTAGTGTACTCTAGGCAGAAATTAATGCAACAGCTAAATGGATAAAGCCTGCACCTTATTGCCAGCTGTTACTCTGAAGTAAGGAAGAAATGTGTCTATTATTATAAAAGAATGCCAGGACTTCACTAACTTCATCAACAAATGCACATGCTTATGTGCAAACTGATCTTTAAAGTTTAGCTTTGGTCTTACAAAAGCTGTACTGCACTAAATTAGCCTTCTATCTGTAATATCTGAATTGAGACTTTTTAGATAGTGTTGTGATTCTTCATCAATGAATTTCTTTTTTGAACCGAAGTGTCAAGAAAACAACTAGCTTCCTCCTTTATCTGACAAATGTATGCAAAAGGTGGTGAGACTGCTAGTCTGAAGGATTTGCTAAGCCATCAGCATGGTGCAAATTTATTACATTTGAGCATAACCAGATGATTAACAATGTAAATTGTTGATAACAATATTTACAGTTGCATGTCTGTTTATATTGTTAACAAAAACAAACAAACAAACAAACAGGGAAACTACGATGGTCAATTGCATTTTTAACTTATGAACTCGGAGACCAGCGATCTGAGTAGCAATTCCAGATTTTCAACAGAAATGATAAAAAGTGCAACATGTTAACCTAAACCAAATCTAAGCTCCCATCTTTCTTCATGCTTGGTAATACAAATTGGGAGATCACCTCACAGACCCCATGGTGTGAACATTTACACATACAGTATGCCTATATGAAGAGTAAGTGGGAATTTTCTCTCACTTTTAATTTTCTAGTGAGTTCTACACCTGCTTGAGAATGTGTGTCAACAAATTTGAATCATAGTCTAGGTCCTATTGCAAATATTGATAACATCCTTAGGTCAAGAAAGGTTCAGGGAAGGCAGGGAAAATACAGTCCAGGCAGTACAGTACCAGGCAGTCTGAAGACTGTCTCCCAATCCACTCTCTAAACACTGGAAGGAGTGAGGAAGCAGACAGGCACCCTTTTCACTGGCCAACAGTTAACTGAAAGTTCAAATTTTGCACTTTCCCTGCCTCCCACGTGGGTTTTTTTAGTTCTTAACTCAAATCTAAGTACTTAAGTCAAGTCAATATTTTCCTATGAGAGTGGTTCTTAAGTCAAAATGTTCTTAACTCGAGCCGTTCTTAAGTCAAGACCCCACTGTACTTTATGGAGCAGTATGGTTGCTGCTATTTCTTCTTAAGTTCAGGCCAATACAGATCTAGTTGGGTAGAAATGCAGAAATTATGTGGGAGGCTGACACATTATGGATGCCATCCTAGTGTCTGAAATTGGGTTGGAAGGAGGTGAGGGGACAGAACATATTCCTACTTCACCAGCCTTGTATGTAGTTGAGAAGTGTGAAAGTTGCAATAATGGCACATAATATAAGCATACATAGGTTCCCAAAGTGGTCTATATGGATCCCCAGGGGTTGATTTCGACTTGTAGGGGGTCCACATCAGAGAGATAAAAAATTGAGGGTGCAAGTTTAGACTTGTATCAAAGCTTTGCAGGGGGCAGGGGGTCTACGGAAAACAAGTTGGCAAGTGGTTTATGGGGCAAAGAAATTTGGGAACCTATCTACCCTAAGTCAATGTTCTGATGTGAAAAGATGAGAACAATAGAAAAGGGATAGCTACAGTATTGTTTGGGATTTGTTGGGTTTTTCTCATTGGCACACCTGCCTTTTTTTAAGTTTGAAATGTAATGATTTGGAACAGTTTGTATCCTAGTTAATTGCAACTTTCATCATCCCTCGCTATTGGCTGTACTGACTAGGTGGGCTAATGGTAGTTACAGTACAACAACACCTGGAGTCGTCCACATTCCTCTAGTTGCTTAGAGATTTCACCCATCTAGTTTAGAGCCAATATCTTATTGTTAAGGGTCCACTAATACCAGTCTGCCATTAAGATTAGTAAGTAAAATACAATTATGTGATGCAGCTGTTAGTACTCATACTCACTGTGAATTTTATTTGGTGATATCACTGTGTTAGTGCAAGACTGTTGTATCAGCAGCTGTACATTGTAACAGTTAGCACAAATAGTACAAATGGTGATAACTAGAATTCTGGACAAGTTGTTTTGTCCAAATGATTGTGCAATACAGAGTGCAAAAATATACATACCTGCTTGCACAATTACTTATGTAATACTGATTGAAATCCTGTTTTACAAAGTACAACTCGTAATTTGACTGATATCAACTGTGGTTGTGTTGAAGCAATTTTGTGTGGCCCTACAGGTTCTGAGGATCCCCATCAATCTGTGGGAGACTTTTGAGAGCCACAGAATGGAGAAGAAAGCTCTTTAGTGGTTGAAAATTGAGTCATAACTTACAAAATAGGATTTTAGCTGTTGTAATCAAGCACAAGTATACTAATGTGGATTTTCACTGTGCTAACAGGATTTGGGCTAATGTGTCAGAACTGATTGCAGTTCATTAGAAAGAAAATGATTCATAATTAACAATTTGTGCCTACATAAATTCTTTGAGTCTTTTTAGATGCATGAAAATAATTAGAAATACATGTAAAATAAGATGGAGGGATGCCGAAATCAGATGGCTGTAGGTTTGACAAATCATGATTCTGAAATTGCAACCTGTATTCAGAGGTTATATAGATGGAATGTAAATAAATGAATCATGTTGATTTCTCCTCCCTTAATCCCTTTTCTCTTGTAGGTGGTTCTTTGAAGCACTGGGATACTCCAAGGCCTCCAAGGCCAACATCATCAACGGAATACTTATGACAATCGCATTCTTCCTAGCAAGGATCATAGTCATCCCCATTTATTATGCCGATGTTGCTTCAGAATTGGGAACCGAAGCTTTCTACAGATTAGGATTAGCAGCTCAAAGCGCCTGGTTTATCTCCAGCATTGTACTGGATATCATGAACTTAATGTGGATGGTCAAAATAACAAAGGGATGTTACAAAGTTATTTGTCTTATTGGGCAAGGAGAAGCCAAAACTCTTAAGAATGGCAAATCTGACTAGAAGATATAAATATGTATTTCTCTATCTTTAAAAGCACCTTTGGGTTCTTCAAAGGAATAATGCACACTTTTGCCATGAGAAAAGCTCCTCTTAAGGGAACAAGGTATTACCTCTGTGAAATTTAGCCCTCCCCTTGACCCACCGCCTGGGTACCCAGCACCACTTCTTTTGAAGACTTGTATTTTACAGAATGGAAAACAATAACATGCTGCATACGACAACTTTTGCAGTCTGCTCTAAGCACTTAGTAGACAAATGAACTTGTAAAGAAACAAACTCTTCTAGCACGATATTTCTAGGAATTTTCACTCAGGTTTCTTAGACTGATGAATTTTTAATGCCTGTGGTTGTCAGGATTTTTGGTTTACGTTCTGCTAATAAGGCAGCTTTCCTGGCATGTTCCTCTGCTTTTGTAACGTTTGCTGTTCGTAACTGAGACTTCATCTTTGGTCAACTTTTTTACATTTTTGCAAGTATTTTACTTTAAATCTATACTCTTTTACTGCATTTTCCGCTGCCTTACATGCATGCACATGACCTTTTGGAATTAACATAAACATAAAATGTTATGTAAGCCTATACATTAGAGTTTGGAATTTTCTTTTTCCTATTAATTTGGTTGACTTGCTGTATATAGAAGATCTCTAGAGCTGTTTTCAATATTATACAAGTATCTGGATTCTAATACATGTCAGCATGGTAAACTGTATGGAGATAAGCAAATTCTCGCACCAGTTTTTCTTCCCTGTCACACTTACATGTTTTTAGCACAGCATCATATAGTCAAGAATTTTTCTATGGAGTGTAAACTACTGGAAGAGACATTCATGGTTTTGGAATATATGGTTTATCATAGGAAAAAGTGTGCTTAAGAAAAATGTAACCTGTTACTAATCAGCTCATTGTCATTCTCTCTCTCTCTCTCTCTCTCTCTCTCTCTCTCTTTTTCTTTCTTTCTCTCCCTCTCCCTCTCTCTCTCTCAAGCTGACGTGGGGGCACATTGCTTCACCTAACAGAAAAAAACTGTTTTTGAATATCTATACATGCATTTCCTTTTAATTTCAAAATTCTATAAAAGTGAAGTCTCCATCATTAGGTTTCCATCATGAGAGAAAAGTTTCAGTCATTCAGTACGAGATAGATATTTGTGAAAGCATTTTGACAATGAGTGCTTAAGGTTGTACTGTATCAATGTTATAGTAACACTATAGTACTGTACTATAATATAGTGTAGTATCCTGATAATGGCTGTGCTAGCAAGATTGTTGCAAATAGTCCCCAGTCATAAAAGTTTGTGCAAGAGCAGAGCTGCAGGGTCAACATGGGTTGTAGTGGTAGAAGCTTTCTGCTGGCAGAACAGCGTCACTGGATACAAGTCCTAAGTATGTACAAGGGAGACGTTTGTAAGAATAACAGAACTGAAAATCTACTTGTTTACATTAGTTTTACATGTTATTTACTGCAATGCTATTGCTTCCGGTTTATTTATAGCAAACTATATTTATTCTTGAATTGTGTTTATCAATACTCAAATATTCACCAAATGTGTTGGTGTCTTAATATTTTAAATACCATGTGTCATAATTTATTGCTAATGTTGTTAATGTCTTCACATTGGGTCCTTTTGGGGAGAAAGGCAGAATACATATTTTAAATAAATAAATAAACAAATTCAAATATTTGTGATGAAAATATGCAGGAACATTACAGGAAATAAGGTATTTTCCTGTATTTTGTCTACATCCAATTTCATGTTTCCAATGTGTGATTAATTCTTTCTCTTGCTTCTTAGCAAAGCCTCATGAAATATTTTATGAGTCCATTCATCTTCTGCTACATGTGCCTGTGGCTACTGGATAATATGGATTTTTAGAAGTTACTACGTACTCTTGTAGTAAGGATAGTGCTACATGCCATTATTCCTCTCTCTTGGAACCTTTTTCTTGTACTGTATTTCTTTATAGCTTGCTGAATGTTATAAAACCCACAAGGTTTTAGTGACTCCTATCAAATCTTTTAAATTATATATCGTTGTCATTACAATTAAGACAACTCAGTTCTGCTCTTTACATTAGTATTACGATATCTTGTATGTTCATGTAAATACGTAGGTCCTGTTCAGACATGCATGTTTCTCCTTTGGCAGAAGCATTAATTATTGTAATGAATGTGCAAAAGAGCATATTTCAAAGTCCACAGACGATGTGTTTTGTAACACCCCAAACAAAATGTTTCTCAATGGTGGCACTTCACACATTTAGCTATGAGTTGTTAAGCAATGAGAGATCAAGTGATGTACATGGATTTATCCACCAACTCATATTTAGAGGTTTTTTTTAAAGTGAACCTTTTATTTCTTGCTGGATTTTTCCTTCTAGGTAGAAAACACACCCAACAAACACAGGTTTGGGTGCTGCTTCATCTACTTTCTGATTGTAAAGTGCCTTCTTTCAACTTAACATTTGTTATCTACGTATTAGCTACTTTGAGTTCCTCATTGGAACAAAGTTGAACATTCTGTTGATGTTAACTACTTGAATTTTAAAAACACACATTTATAATAATGATCTAGTATTACTGACCAATCCAGAAAAAAATATTGTTACCAAGGCATAGTAATGAAAGTAAATCTAAATGCTCTTCTAGTTTCTGTTTAGGAAAAAAAATACTGTCTTATCCTTAATTTATTCTACTGGTTTAGTATCTGTTTAGCCTTGGAGTAGTACAGGAATCAGTGGTAGTTTGAAATGTTATTTTTAAAAGATAATTAGTTTTAAAGTTTCACTCTAGTAGTTACTTACTGTTATAGTTACAATGTTAAACTAATTCTTTACTTTCTAATTGTTCTACAGCAAGTAAAATGTTAGTAACTTTTTTGAAAACACCAGAAAATGGCAGGTCCCTGGAGATATAGAACACACTTAAGTAGCAAGGCTACATATTGCCTATAATGAAATCATTTAGAGATTACAGTGAAGCCTGGAGTTCCCCCTTGGTTCGTCAAAATTGTAATGTAACGCATTTATCCCCAAAAAGAATGATTTGCAAGAGCTAGTTATTTCCAGCTTCTGCCTAACTCATGATTTTTGATACATTCTTTTAAGCAGCCAGTCAATGTTGCAAATCAGATTTGCATTGTTTCCATTGCTCTCATGCAGACTGACATCTCTGCAGTGCTATAGCCACCTACAAATGAATTGATGAGACTGCTAGATATCCCTCTTTGTTCTGGAACTGAGGAAATGGCCCATTTGCAAGTTGAAAGTAAAGTTGTGGTTTATAAGAAAGTTGCAGGATAAGTTATTTTGAACAGTCAGAATGTACATACACATATATAGCATCTGAGTGATCTGACTAGACTTACCTAGTGGATAGGTCAGCTCTAACCAAGTGCGTTTTTTATTTTTTGGATAGGGAAGGAAATTGCACTGTTAGCCCTTTTAGCATGCTGCTTTTTACATACTTTTTGCATATGTTGCAAATAAAAATATCCTTGCACTCAGCTGGAGCATGACAATAATGTTTTAAAATTTGAAAATACTAAATCCTTGAAAATATTTCAGAAACATTTTTTGCAATGATTCTTTATAAAGCAGTGTATTGTACCCAAATAATGATTGGGATTCAAAGAGTTTCTTCAGCAGTGCTAAGTGTCCCCATTTCACTCTGGACTACACTGTGAAACTTTGACTTCTGAAAGAAGAAAGCTTTGAAAATCTCCACAGAGGTCTTCACAACTTGGTCCTGTCATTTAGAAAATGCAGTTTAGTTTTCAAATATTGGAAATACGGAATTCTCTCATATGTGGAGTAGACTGGCAACTACTATGTACTATGGAGGTCTATCAAAGTGATCTGTGGCCAGAATCTTACTGGTGGTTTGCATCACTTGCTGTGGCTAATTATGCCTAATTGATGTCCTGGGTCACAATTTGGTCATGTTCCTGGTCAACCAAGATCAGGACAGTTCAACCAAGATGTCCTTGGTAGCTTGTCAGTTGGCTGTAGCAAATTATGCTAAACTTGTGTGATCACTAACAGGATTCTAGCCTGTCTCCTATTTCCCCCATTTTATTTTTATGGGGTAGAAAATGTGATTATTACTGTTGTTATTAATTAAGTCTTGGACATTAAATTAGCATTAAGGAACAGTACATTGCCAAGGTTTGCTTATGCATGCTTTCTGTTCCATTAAAGTTGCAATTCTATAATGAGTAAGTCCTGATGAACTCAGTGAAAGTTACCTCTACTTGGAAGTGTATAGGATCACACAGATATTTCTGATTTGTGCTGCTTTACATATTTTAAAATTTAAAACGGCTTTATTTTGGAACAGTATAGCATGTACATTATAACAGCTTTTCCCTGAAAGTATAAGGAAAGAAATAATTGTATTTATTTTATTTCATTTAAAAACAATTGCTTTTTTTCAATTTCAGTTCTTCTAAATATATGAGGTAAAGCATGAAGGAGTAAGGGCAGGGAGGCACTGAGCACTTCCTAGAAGTAGCTGTAATTTATATTCTGTAATGTTGTCTTTCTCCCCTAATTTTGAGAGATGTACTTCAGATGTAATATGCTTTCAACGCTGTCATATACAATTCAATAAACTTTGCATCAGTAATAGTAGTAGAGAGGTGTGATCACATGGGCACACAGCTTACATTTTGGACTGCTTACGACACAGTCCAGGTGCAAGCTATTTCCTGAGCAATTACACAATGTACAGACATTTCTGCCCTAGCTCAACCGAAAGCCATGCCCAAGCTGAGTCTTTCTGGCCTATCAGTGAGGCTACTACTTTTGGGGGCAAGGATGGAGTGATTCCCTGATGGAAGAAAGGGTTGCTCAAAGGGAGGTTGCTCCCAGCGAAGCGATCCTTTTTGGTGTGATTAGGTGCACACCTTTCTTACTGCCTGATTGCACCCCTCTGTCAGGGATGGCCAAGGGTGACCACTGGACTGTATATGAGCCGTGACATGGTGTCTGTAAAAAAGATTTATTTGTATCTAATCAGGCTCTAAGTCAAGGAAAAAGTGGCACAAAGATTTTTTAAAAGGCAGATTTAATAAGGGCAGTTATCTCTTTTAAACTTTCATTCATTTCTTTTTTGCTGTAAGATCTTGTGGGTAGTATGTGCACCCATGGGATATTTCCTGTATACTCCAATATGCTGAGATTATAGCCAGAAATATTCTGTCACCTCTGTGTAATTTGAGAGGGAGGAGTCTGATTTTAAAACATGGCTTTATAGGGGGCACAGGTTTCCATTAGCCTGCTTAATGGCTTAGTAACATTTCTAACTGGGTTTGCAGAAGTTTAATAGAGGACATTATACGCGGTGGCCTAAAGTATATGGGAACTTAGATTGTTTGAACTCTTTGAAATCTGTATTTCCTTTGTTAAAGGATGTTGTTATAAGTCAAAAAGAGGGAAGAGTTCAAACCACACATCTCCTTATTTTCGGAGAAGAACTAGTATTAGAGAGGGAACCAATGTATCCTGCTGTTTTTTGAGACAATAATTACCAGTTGAGAAGCCAGTTAAGATTGGTGTGAGTATCTGCTGAGAAGAAGAAATCATGAATCAGCTACTGTAGGGAATAAGCAATATACAGCAACCTATGCCCCATTAAACTGCTGAGGAGAGAATGGGAAACATTCATTTTATGACCTTCCTTCAGTTATCATACCTTAAGAGTGAAAGTTCAGTGTATAGCTTCACAATCAAATAACAAGAGATTCCACTGCACTTCACTACTAACTCATTCTGATGCTGTTTCCCCAAATATCTAATAAAATACCAGTAAGTACATTAATATAATGATGGTGTCCAGAAGAAAATTGGAATCATTGCCATGATCCAAAGAGCTGCAGAAATAATGATATGTGTCCAATGCAAGATAGCTTCATGTGTTGTGTGTTTCACACCAATGGGAGATTCTCTTGACCCCCTGGCAGCTAGCTGCTGTGCCAGGAGGGCAGCGGTCTTTATCAGGATCATTGTAGGAGAGATTATTTAAGCTCTACTTTCCACATATTACAGTTTCAGCAATCAGTCTAGGCACAACAACACATTTCATACGTACTAGCTCAAATCCTTTTGCATAGCTATGCAAATGGTAGAACTTTTGGAGGCAATTGCACCAACTTAAGAAATCACTGTCGACATTGTCAGTTGCATGCTCAGTCACAGAATTCAGTCTGCAACTGATAATGGCCAAAATTCTGTTGCACAATTATACATACACAATTTAAGGTTGCACCCGCAGAGGTTGTGCAATGTCTGAGGTGGAAGTATGATCCCCTAAATGCTTCCACCAATGCATTGCTTAATTGGTTGTGCTGGGATGTGCAATTGATTGCAAAGTGTATGGCATAAACCTTTATTGCCAAGGATAACGTGCAGCACTTTTACAGTGGCATAACTGCATTATTCTGGCACTAATGGAGTACTGGCCAATGTCTACAGTGATTTCTTAACTTGGGAGCAATTTGTCTCCAAAAGTTACACTATTTCTGCTCCTCCAGCATAACAAGGTAAGAGGATTTGGGTCTATGTATACTTTGGACCTTAAACAGACCCTCTTCCCTGACAGCAATCCTTGCTGGTGTCTGAAGTAGTTTTTTTAAAATGTACTGACTTGAAAACCTTTTGAAATCTATAGTAAAACAATCCAAACTAACTGCTGAATTTATTTTTAAAATACTATTACTACTGCTTTCCTGTTTGTAACTGAATGTGTTCATAATTTTAGTTCAGACACACATGACTTTATTCATTTTAAAGTTTCCTCCAGCAGCTTGTTTAAGGTGACACATTCAGCAGGCAGTACTCTTCTGCATCAGTTTTTTTAAATGGATTTTCTCTCTGTTAACAAAAGTAAAGTAAGTGCAATGGGATGCACGGCTGACTCATGCATTCTTGTGGAAAGCAGGCACAAAAGAATCGAAGACACGAGGCCTTACTAAATCATAGCACAAAGTTTAATAAAGGCAGCACCGAAAGTCCATTACAGGATGGAAGAAAGATGACAACTGTGAATGATGCCAAACTCTATTGAAATCCTACAACAGCACTGATTAGGTTGTTCCCAAACAATAATGACACAAGAGACTGAGACAGCACTCTTGACTCTGAGAGTGGGTGAATGATGTTTATACTTTAACAAGATCTTCATGTCTGCTTGAGTATTCTTTAATGTTGCTTGGCATATATACGAGTTTGCACTTCACTGGTATTTGAAAGCCTTTGCTCTTTGTATAAGTTTCTGTAGGCTGATCTTGTTTGAGGTATATACAATAATGTCTAAGCAATAAGTTGCATGTATTTTCAAGACACTGGTAAATAAGAATAAAGGAAGGGAATGCAATACTTGCTGTTGATTTTTTCCCCATCAAAATAATGTACAGTATAATATATTCAGTAAAACAGATAGGAAAAACACCCAGTGTGGTATAGTAGACACAGTGATGGACTAGGACTCAGGGAAACTGGATTCAAATAGCTGCTCACTCATGGAAATTCATGGACAGGGGGGGAATGGAAATGGTAAAAGTAGTCCTTAAATACAGTAGTACCATGGTATATGCGGGCGATCATTTCCAGGCCCCCACTCCACAATGCCAAAACCTGCAGATTATAGTTAACTATAAACTCTAGTACTGTATATATACTAGAGCAGTGGTCCCCAACCTTTTCCCAACCATAGACCAGTTGGTGTGCGTATGTGGCATGCTCATGGGGGTGGGGCATGGTGTGCTCACACGCATGCATGTGGTGTGCTTGTGGGGGGCAGGAGATCTGTGTCCGCAACCCGGTCCTGCCTAGGCAGCGGACCGCTGCTGGGTCACGGACCAGGGGTTGGGGACCTCTGCACCAGAGTACACTGGTGCCTCGCATAGTGATCGCTCTGTATAGCGACGAAATCGCTTTGCGATGGACTTTTTGCCATCGCAAAAGGTATTGCTTTGTGATGGTCCCTATGGGGGAAATTCACTTTGCGATGATCGCAGGGAAGCCATCATCGCAAAGCCCCCATTTTCAGCCAGCTGATCAGCAGTTTCAAAATGGCCGCCGGGTAAACAAAATGGCCGCCTGCTGTTTTCAGGCACGGATACCTTGCTTTAGAGGTGCCGAAAATAGCGGCCCTATGGAGGATCTTCGCTTAAAGGTGAGTTTTTAGCCCATAAGAACGCATTAATCGCATTTTAATGTGTTTCTATGGGCTTTTTATTTTCACTTAGCAATGTTATCGCTTAGCAGCGATTTTTTATCTGCACAGATTAACATCGCTAAGCGAGGCGCCACTGTATATATGAACTATATACTCTAGTATACTCATGGTTTCTGGCCCCTTCTAGTGGCCAGTCCTAGTAATTACATCATGTTTTTTTTATTTAATATTTTCAGACAATGGATAAGTGAATCTGCAGATACTGTGGATGGCAGGGTCCTACTGATCTCATTTACCGTGAAAGCCATATTTGGGTTGCTATTACTGTAGTTGGTTCTGACTTGATGACCCATAACGCACACAGATAAGAAGGAATGGCCCCAGCTTATCAGTTTGTCAGCTGACGGGGTGGGAGCGGACAGTATGGTGACCCCCATTTATGCAGGACCAGGAATCTTCTCTTCAGAAGCCTCCATGGCTTTTGCTCACTTTTTTCCTGGTCAGCAGTTCTTGAAACAATCAGGGCAGCCAGGGGCAGAGCTAGCTCTCCAGGTGACCCTGAATGACCAAGTTTTCGTTGTGGTCCAGCTATGGGATATATAAGGGGCACACTAGGCCCAAAAGAGCCATTCTGCTCCAGAACTTTAACCTCCCTCGGGTTCCACTGAGTTTATTGGAAAGTGAAGATTGAACGCTGTATTTCTTTTCTCTGTCACAGCTTTGTTGGGGACAGTTTGGAAGCACAAGGACCTATCTGGGCAAAAAGGTGGAGAGGGTCTAGCAGGTGCTTGACCTTCCCTAGTGACTCCCCTTCATATGACGGGGCAAAGAGCCACTTGCATGGGCCCACACACTTGTCTGTTTCATGGTGGCAAGAGGAGCCAAACAGTGGTCTGGTTCTGGCCCCTTTGGTTCACTATCAGCTGAATGCAGAACCATCTTCTATGCTAGTGGCAGGACTATTGGCAGCTCTAACCAATAAAGTGTGGCCTGTTTTAATTCCAGTTATAATGTGTGTAATTTTTCATGCCCCCGCCATGATCCAGCTCAGATGACAAGAACCTGCTATGCATTAGCAGCTTATGGACACAGTTATTTATAAAACTACTTTGTTCTGGAAACATGGTAGCTATATTTTTTTTTGTCTGAGAATTAAACCTCAGATAATAGAATGCATACATTTTAAAAAGGTAGCGTCTCTTTGTGGAGTTTTGTTTTTACAACAAAGGTTGAAAGGTATCCTTATATTTATGCCCTTATAGCCTGTTCTGTGATATATAGCATGACAAATGGATCCCACAACGAAATTTTGCAATGTATCCCAGCCCCATCAGCCTGGAAGAATTTGGTGGAGCTCTTGAGAGTTCACAGTGACAGTGTCAAGAAGCTTCCAGGAGGAGGAGAAAGGGAGACAATTTTTATCTGCCTCTTGTAATCTTCTGTACATCATACATTGCTTTCAGCCATAAACACAAGCTATTCATTACTATGTATTGGTAGTGGGGAGACCTCTGGAACATGGTGAATGCTTCTTTTCAATTCCCTGAAAACACTTTATACAGTATGTAGGGTAAGGGTTTTGCTTGATACAACGACCAAAATCTTGTTGCTTAGTATTAGTAAACCACACTAGAGTAGGCTCATTGAATCAGTGGGGATTTGGTGAGTCAACTCATCTGCAAGTTCTATTTATTCAAAGTGGCCACTCTAACTGTAATTTATTTTTGTATAAGCCACAGTTAGAGTAAACCAATTGAACTTTTAGAGAACTTGACTCCAAATTCCTACTGATTCAATGGGCCTGCTCTAGTGTGATTTATTATGCTAAGCTACAGGATTTTGGTCAGTTCATCTGTCTGATTTCTGTAGAGTATTGGCCATGGTTGGGAACCTGAGCAAACCAGATCTGTATCTCATGCAACTTCCTCCTTCCTACCTGCTGGTGCATAAGTGGCCTCAACATTTTGTGTTCCCTTGAAGCTACTGACCATAGCCAACTTTCACCAGGTCATTTTTCAGTTTTTTCCTTTCCATTATTTATTTGTCTATTATTTATAAAATAATTATTTTGACATACCTAAGAAGGTCCATGGCAAAGTAGTACCACTATATTGCACATTAGTGGGTCTGTTTTGTTACTCAGCTTGCCTGGCTCAGCAGGTTTGGCGTAAGAAGGAACAAATGAGGATTTGCTATGAAATACCATGTTGTATCCCAGTAAGCTTGGCTACCCTACAATCAAGCTGGGATACTGAGTTCAAGGCAGTAGAAGGAGGGAGGTTTACAGAGAATGAGAGAACGAAAAATGCTGTCCCCAGCTATTGTACTCAAAACATCATAAGACCTGATTGAACAAAGTTCTTTTCAGGATACTGATGGTTTTAATTTTAATTTAACAACTGATAATACTTGTGGAGATAAGTAAACACAAATCGCTCATTTATTTTTTTAATGGTCATTAAAATTTAATTTCCAAACCTTCCACCCAAGTTTGGCATTCGTAAGATCAAGTGGAAATTTGTAACAAAATTTTACTCTCTAGCTCAAAAACCTAATATACTGTAAGTGCAGAATTCAAGGCAAAACTCCAACCAGGCTGGGGCAGGAACCTTCTAGTTATGCCCAGGGTTTGTGGGCTAGAGGGTTTTTGAAGCAGAGAAAGGAAGGGCAGATTGCTTTCCAGTAACTAACGGGTTCTTCAGGAGGTCATCTGTGAATTCACACGGTTAGGGTCATGTGCCTGCAATGAAGCTATTGTTCACAACCAGAAGAGAAGACAGTTCACAGACAATCACTAGAAGCATCTATCCCTAAATGGCCTCCTATAACCACAGGAGAGATTAAATCCCACAGAGAGAAACTGAAAAATGCCAAAGCCCCTGGCCTTGATGCTATACCGCCAGAATTTTAAACAGAAAATGAGGAATTGGGGCCTCCCTCCTAGCACCCGTATTTATTCACATTGATGATACAGGCCATATTACCAAATACTGGGAAACAGCCATAGTAGTTCCATTCCATAAAAAAAGGTAAAAGGGAGGACCAGTCAAATTATAGGTCAATTAGTCTGTTGGATATTATAAGCAAGCTTTATGCAAGGCACCTACTGGACAAGTTTTCAGACTGGCTGGAACATGAGAATATTATAGTGCTAGAGCAGGTGGGCTTCAGGTCAGGGAGGTCCATGATACATCAGTGCCTAATCATCCAGCATCTTATTGAGAAATACTCGGCCAAAGGAATAACCTCACTTTACGCAGCCTTTGTGGACTTTAAATCAGTTTTTGATTCAATATCTAGAAGATCATGACTTTGGGATATACTTAATAGCTCAACTATTGATAGGAGACTCCTCTATATGATAAGGGCCCTGTATGAACAAATATATTTGAGAGTTAGATGTAGCAGACAGGGTCATTTAACTGAACCTATTCAAACCTACAGAGGTCTCAGGCAAGGATGTCTTTTAGCACCTGCATTACAGTATTTATATATATATATAAATGACGTGGTGGCGCTGTGGGCTAAACCGCAGAAGCCTGTGCTGCAGGGTCAGAAGATCCGGCAGTCGTAAGATCGAATCCACGCAACGGAATGAGCACCCGTCGCTTGTCCCAGCTCCCGCCAACCTAGCGGTTCGAAAGCATGCAAATGCGAGTAGATAAATAGGGACCACCTCGGTGGGAAGGTAAACAGTGTTCCGTGTCTAAATCACACTGGCCATGTGACCACGGAAAGATTGTCTTCAGACAAAACGCTGGCTCTATGGCTTGAAGAGCGGGATGAGCGCCGCCCCCCAGAGTTGGACACGACTGGACAAAAATTGTCAAGGGGAACCTTTACCTTTTATAAATGATCTACCCAATTGCTTAAATACTCCTGATAGTCACCCCCTCAGACTTGCCAGTAGAACAGTACCAGTATGCGGATGACACAGTAATACTTTCTAGAACACCTGTTGGACTGAGGAGGGCTTTGAGAAAGCTCTCCTCTTATTGTGAAGATGAATCCCTGATAATTAACTTCCAGGAAACCAGGATAGTTGGCTTTGGGCATAGATCAAAGAAGAGAGCATGGTCAATAAATGGAAACTGTATTGAACAGGTAAAAATCTTTAAATATCTTGGGGTAGTTCTACAAGCTTTGGGCTCTATACTTTAACACAGCGAATACACTGTAGACC